GCTCCACGGCGGACGGCGGGGCTCCTGGGCTCGCTCTGGGCTCTCCAGAAATTAAAGCCGAGGAGCATCTGCAAGTGGAAAGGTCCCCCTTCTGGTAGGATGGAGGTAAAAGGAGGCCACGGTCATTGTGTGGAGGGGGCCAGAAGCGACGTCTAGGACTTGGCTCTGCCCCTGTCGGACTTTTAAAAGTGGTTGCCTAGATCCCGGAGATCTTTTGTAGAGCAACAACCCACCTGTCAAGTCACACTTATGGGGAATCTTTGAAAGGCAAGTTGTTTGGACTTTTTTCTCATCCCCCCCCTACCCACCACCCTCCCGTTTAGAGAAAGGCAGAGATGCGGGAGATTCATAACGTGAATCCAATGCGCGAGCTTTAATTTCACTCTTAAATGACATTCTGAAATTGACATAGATCTGAAAGTAAAGCTTTTTCTCCATTTTAAAAAGGGCAAGAGGTGAGAAAATAATGCACTTGAGAATACGGGAACAAAGAGTTTTTCTAAAATATAATGAAATATTCACAGATTGGTGGGGGGGGCGGAGTTCTTTAGGGAGGGTACTCTTGCTTTCTAACTTGTCACCTGCTCCCATCCCAAAACAATCCATCAGCTCTTTCCTTCTTCACCGGCCTTATGCTAGAAAGGTTTAGGTTTGGGGTGTTTGTTTTCCAATCATACAAGCCAAACAAGATGACTAGAATTGAGCTTCAGTTCCTAAGTCTGTGTGACAAGAGATTCAGAATAGAGTTAATTGATTACACAACCGGGGGAGATTTTTGTACAAGTGGCATTGTTCTCAACCAGATTTTAGAAAACTCCCCATTCTGTAAAATTAAGATAGAGCAATCCATGAAAGGACCACCCAAGGACATCAAAGCTTTTAGGAAGTTGGTCCCACCCCCAACCTCCCCTTTAAACTCTGTGGAGCCTAAAATGAATAGCTGTGAATACAGTATATAAATTTCACTATCTTCATTATAATGAGATGACTCCAGCCCCTCTCCAGAACAGATTCCGAAAATGAAATCATAGTTTCAGTCAAATGCATATGGCTACATGGCTGTGGAATTTTTTTAAGCCTATATAGCTTTCATTGTAAAAACAATGTTGGAGTATTTATGATTCTTGCTTTTATGGATAACTTTAGAAGCATTTAATTTCACACAAATCATTCACAAAGGAAAAATACATACACGAGCTAGTTTTTGTCAAGCTCGCCTCACGTGGGGACCATATGTGTTCTCTGGAGTCTGCTGCCCGGTGTGTGTGGTCCCAAGTTAGATACAAGTGGTACAATGTGAGGTACTGATGGCATCTAAGACTGTTTTTCTTGGAAGAGGAATTTTTTTATTTCTTACAAAGGAAAAAGAACGTGTCAATGTGATACTAAAACATAGATTACTTTGCTAAAGTTGTTTTCCAGTAGGGTTAGTATTTGTTGTTTCTTCCTACTTTGCCTAATTCAATCTGTGACCCTCCTTTCCCTTCCCAATGTTAATGTTTCCCCGTCTTCCTGCAGACCAGACTGATAACACTTCCATGCCCAAATGTAGAGCTGGCTCACAAGCCTCCGAGATCGGGCAGTGATACTTCTGCCCAGTAGTTCCGTGGATGTGCAGTCCCAACCCACAAAAGACACACATCAAGCCCATTTGTACCAAAATCTGGCAAATATGAAATTAAACAAAGAAGCAAAAGGTTTTTGAAATATGTTTTGGTTATTTTTAATTCCAAATTGAATGCCAAGTGGGGAAATCACTAACTGCAGCCCTGAGTATGAATTCCAACACCCACCCATTAACTCAAACCCATTGATCTCTTTTGAGCAAAAATTTAAAAAATCAACTTTAAAAAAATATTTGAGTGTCTGGGTATAGTTGACAACTGGGGGCGGGGGGTAGGACCTAGAAAAAATTTTACTGAAGCTAGGAAAAGTATTTCCTTAGGACTTACTAAAATGTTTGGAAGCTCAAAACAGATAGCATGGGTGCACCTTACCCTTTGGAGGGCCAAGTATTCCCACTGATTTCAGTATCCCTCTTTATTATATTTCAGGTGAATTCATTATTTCAAACTGTGAGCCCTGGCTCTTCTTAAGCACTGTTGAATAGATTCACAAGTGCTTCCCCTGCTACGTATAAACAGACTTCACAAAATATATACACTACTATGTATGATGAAGCACAAATGCTGAAGAAGGAAACAATGAGAGTTTCATCTCTCTTTTGCCAACATTGGAGAGCTTAATTACCAACCACAGATATGTAAACATGTTTCCTTAAGAAATCTTTTTTCTTGCTTAATAAAATGTACTTGGGGGGGGGCGGGGAAGGGAGTAAATCATTGTGTACCCTGTTATGTATCTCCCAACTCTTAAATGCTTGGTTTGCATTCTTAAACCCAGAAATT